TTTTACATTTGGAAAAAAATATTTATTCAAAGATGCCTTGTCAGGCATGTTATAACTAAAAGGAATATAGACAGCATTATTGTCAGGCATGTTATAACTAAAAGGAATATAGACAGCATTATTGTACCTAGTTGTACATTATTGTCACTAATGCACCATCACATCATGCAGAAGAAATTGACAAGGATTTAAAATGAAGGGAAAAGTGTTACCAAATGCCTGGTATTTATCATCCAGTACTGGCTCTACCAACTGGTAGAGAGGTGAGATTCGTTCACATCAGCACCTCTTTGGAGAGGTGTTTTTATTTCAAGGGAAGCTTTGCAGCCACTGGGAATCTCCATAATTCCAGGGCTTCTGTGGCAATGAATTATTTCCTGGTGCAACTAATAGTTTCTGGGATGAATCCAAGCTTTGCATTCTAGCAGATTGAAGTTTATTGATGGAGTGACTGAGCCAAGGATGAAGACAGCACACTTTTGAAATCCCTGTGTTTCTCAGCTAGCAATGGGCTGGGCCAGCCACGCTGAGGGTTGAACTGGAGTTCTTCGTTTATTCACAGAACCAGTTCTGTATTTCCGGCTGCAGTGCAGGCTTCCTCACAGTGCCCTGCCAGCGTGCTTACACCCTGACCTGGAGGGACCAGCTAAGGGTGAGAATGTTGATTCACTCTCCATGTCCATCTCATGTTTGGTTAGCTAGGACTGGCCATGCATGCTAGGGATGGCCTTGGGGTTTAAGTATCTAACAAGTGACTCTCCCAGCATAAAGACAAACCCATGTTGTCTGGCAGCCCATCTACTCAAAAGCCCTAAACTTAACCCACTGTACACTAACTATGAAAAGGAAAGGAGCTAGACACATTTGGACCTAAAACCACATCACTTAGCAGTTTATCCAGCCAACAGTCTGTTAAGATCCAAAAACATAAAAAGGCCACATCATGTTTTAGAGACAATGCCTCAACAACTTTAACCCTCATCGAAGCAAGTTTTTTTCTGTAAGCAATTACACAAATATCTTAATGTTTACTTAGAGTGGTCCTCTTAAAGGTGGGTAATCTATATGTAAATCAGAGAGAAGATATTTGAGGGTATTTCTTTTTTCCAGAGATTCCAAAGAGGAGGGTGTTTGTCTCAATCTGGGAATTCTTTTGATGGTACTTAAGCAAATTTGGCTACACCTCCCTCAACTCTACTGAGAAAATAAACTGAAGGGGATATTTTAAATATTTAAAATGGCATTAGCTATAAGTATAAAATATAGCCTTTTATTATTAATTTGTAACACCAAGTACATGAGTTTAGTAAATTTTACAGGGAGTCCAAACCTTACTGCCTGGATTACTAGACAGACAAGGTATTTTTATCAACTACCTGTTTCTCTTGGTCATTGCTAATCTTAGATCAGGAACAAAGACAGTTTAGAGTAGCTTACTGCAAGGCCTGCCATATAATGAACTCTAACATATGTTAACTCTTATTACAGTCCAAAGCAGCATGCCACATGTTTTTCAAGGTGCTTTCCATGTGTTCCCACTTCTATATTGTACCCACTTCCATGGCTGGAAAATATCAGTGGGGGTAAACCATAAAGGGAAAGCATTATGTCATTGGATGGCACTGGCTGTGTCCCTGGCTGTGACACCAGCTACCTAGAGCCATGTCTATTGTAAGACAGTCTGTCTGACTCTATTACCAGGATTTATCTTCAGCGACTAATTTCTCCCCTAATGCTCCACAATCAGACTTCACTCCATTATCTGAGTCCTGCACATGGAGGCTGAAGGAGACTCAAGTGTTGGCTGGAATGGGGATGCTACCTGCTTTCTCTAACTGAGACCCGTTCATCCCCAAATCAGGGCCATATATTTACATCTAGTTGAGCCAGCACTATAGCTTGGTCCCTCATTGGTGGTTTCCCTCTTGATTTGGCTCTTAGCAGATCTTTAGCCCACTGTCACATGTATGGATTGAGATGGGAAGGGACATTTTTGTTATAAGACCCTTAAGCACCTTCATGTATCCAAATCTTCTATAAATACAATCCGCTGGCCTTATGCCAGGGCTTCCATTTCGTTACACAAAGCTGGCTTCCTGAGCAACTGCATGGCACTCAGAGGGGGCTCCTGTTTATTGTAGCAACCTCCTGTTGCCATCTTTTATATTGTTTATCATGGTGTATGACATGCCTAGTTTGCAGTGGGTTCCATGATTGATTCAGCCCATTCTGTTGGAAGGTCCAGAGTGGAGCTTGCAAATGCATATACCCAACTGATGCAGATGCAGCCCTACAGGGAGAATATGTCCTCATTTCACAGCTACTAAATGAACTTTTTCAAAGTCAACTTGAAAGAATAAGGGAGGGGACAAGGCCCCTCTTTCCTCTTGATCTGGCCAGATCCAATGAAAGTACTGAAAATGGAAGGAACACTGGTAGAGCAACAGGAGCTAATGTTTCAATTATCCTTGATCGCCCTTGTTTTGTTTTCTTTTCACCAAACTATTAAACCATTGCCTGTTCTGCACCTCCCCAACAACCAAAGTAAGTATAATTCCTGTCTGTATGCCAGGTCCATTACAAGTGTCTGAAGCATCTTGAAAAAGTATGTGTAGTGGAATAATGTCATAGGAAGTAATCTGTGAGGTGACAAGAAGGAAAACAATGGGAAGAATGACAAGCTTAGTGGTGTAAAATGTACAGATGCCCTGTAAGTGTCTATACAGCAATCACGCAGGGCTCCATGTCCTCTGAGCCTTTTAGCCTTCATAGCAGACAGAAATGCATTATTTAATAATACCTCAGGGTAACACTGGGTAAAAATAAAAACCTACTCCTATGGAAACCTCAAATGCTCCCAATATGAAGATGAGAGAAATTACTTCCCTGACCTCTCATTTATACTCATAAATTCTGGCTGAATGTACATTTGGAACATTGCCCTGGATGTTTCTCTTCTACATTTTTGGTAAGATGAGGTGTAAGACTTGAACCGAAATTTTTGTGGTATCTCTGAACAAAGATGTGACCACTTCCAAAACTCTCCTCCAAATAACAGAAGGTGAAATCCAAATTATACATTGTTTCAGTTGGGCTCCTGAATTAAACAATGGCTTTCACTTTCTGTAAAATATTCCAGAAAACAAGACTATGGGTCCACACGATTAAGTATACAACTATGACTTATTCTTATCCAATAGAGCTAAGTAAGACATTTTCATTAATGACTGAAAAGAAAATGTCACCTCAGCATGGGAACTAATGAAATCAGACAAATAATATGATCTGTAGTCCTTCTGATTCTGAATTGCAGTCTGTATTAGTTTAAGACAGTCACTTCTTCTCATATACATAACAAACCTTTCCCTAGAAGAGCCATATCCCATGACAATAGGCAACTGCCCAGTTTGTATGAATTCCTGTTCCCCTACCTAGAATTAAGGAGAGTTCTTCCCCTTTAATTATATGCGATTTAGTTTCCTCCCCGTTTCCAGCAGAGTTAAGTTCTTCTTGATTGTTTTTCCCTTCAAATTCACTGGAGGCCCACATGTCTGGAAAATCATCCTCACGGCTGTCCTTTGGCTCCTGCCCATAAGATTGTGTGATATCAGTTCAAAGAGGAGGCAAGCAGAGATCTTATTTATCCTATGTAGGTAGGAAATGTCCTCGGCAGAAGTACCAGAGTCCAGGCTGCCTCGGTGACAGGCATGGCATATCACAAATGCCAGGATGTTTACCCCCCTGGGTACTTACCCTAGCTGGAAACCTGAGCTACAGCTAGGGTCCCTGTGAATCCACTTCCTTCATTTTGCATGCAAAAAAAAAAATTTGGCTAGGAGAGGACTGCTCTGTGTGTGTTTACCTTCTTTCAGACCACAAAGGATTTGTTTTGAAAACTGCAACAAATGGAAATCAAAGACCAGTAAAAAGAAGCAAACATGGCCAGGGTGGTGGTGGGGGGAGGCAGAAGCACACTGTGAAACTTTTAATCAATCTTTGATCATTTCCCTTTAAGATGTCAGGGCCACTGTTTTGAGGAAGGTAGAAAATAAAGATGGTTCCAGGTAAGACCTTGCCCAGTCCCCATGTTCCTGGTATTCTCATTTTCCTGTTCCATTACATTTTCACTGTTATTTCTGTTGCTATGACAACTCATACGTGCGTACACTAATAGTATGTGAGATAATGCCATAGATTTTTCTGCCTTGCAAAATCATCTTCTGTGGGTTTACATCCACTGGGTTCGTAATGACTGTCAGGTATTTATCATTTTAACCAGCTTTTAATACATAAACATATATCCCCACCAGCAGTATCATTGTCTTCATCACAAGAAATATAAATTTACTTACTAAGGATGCTGTGGGAAAAGAAAATTTTTTTTCTAAGGCCACAATGAACTGTAAGTCTAGATTATTTTTAACTCAGGAGAATGAGAAAGGCAAAAAGAGTCATCTGGGTTGTTGGGGTTTTTCCACCCCCTGCTTAATAGATAGTGACCCCTAGGCTTTAACTCTTAAATTTAATCAGGTAGTACTCCATTAGGCACTCTGGCAATGCAAGGTGGTGACAGGGCTCCATCTCTGTTTATGTCCTGTTTTTGCTAAATCTGGTCAGTTTTACTGCTCTCCAGCAGCAGGCAGCATTGGCGAACACAGGCATGTGTATCTCCACCCTCCTAGTTGACCTTTGTTTCATAACATTTGTTAGGTTTTAGCGCCCTCTGCTGGTTGAGCTTTGGCAGCTCTAGCAGATGGTTATTTATCCTTTGCCCCCTCCCTTGTAGGCTGACATTTCTTACTGTGTTTGTTGTGTTTTACTGCCATCTTGTGATCATTTTATGGAAACGCTTTCACATTATTGATGGAGCTGTGTTGAAATGTCGCTCAAAAGGTCTTTTTATTTCAGCCTCCATGTCCATATACTTGAAATCTGCCATTGACAACGGTGTAATGTTTGAATCTGATCATACTCACACACCTATAATTGTCTTATGCCAGGAGCCCTGACATGCTTCAGTCGGAAGTTTCCTTTTCCATGGGAGGGAGGCATTCATCTACAGACTCCAACAAGGCCTCCAGTGGAGACATCTCCCCTTATGACAACAACTCCCCAGTGCTGTCTGAGCGCTCCCTGCTGGCTATGCAAGAAGACAGGGCCCGGGGGGGCTCGGAGAAACTTTATAAAGTGCCAGAGCAGTATACATTGGTGGGCCACTTGCCGTCGCCAAAGTCAAAGTCAAGAGAAAGTTCTCCTGGACCAAGCCTTGGAAAAGGTAACTGAAGCCTGGCTGTGATTGCCCAAACAAGTATCTTCCCTTTGGCATGTTACACCGGTGGGTCATTTTGGACCTTCTTCATCAGGCCTCTGTTTGATGTTTCTTCAATTCAAAGAACATTTACTGAGTGTCTGCTAAATGCTCAAGATAGGAGAAAAGAATGGTGATTCCCATGCTTTGTCGTAGAAGGTCCCTACAACTTCTGATTCTCAAATATCTGTGACTTGAGCAAATGTCCAAAGGAGCCACTCATTTTCCCAATTGACCTCTTACTTTTAACACCCAGGGGAGTCTATGTCCCTGCTGGTGGATTTGCATTGCATATGTGCTAGTCTAAGACTTCAGTGACTTCGCTCATAAAGAAAAAGTTCTGAACCTATCATGTAACAATGCAGTGTGCCAGAACCAGATAGTGACAGAAACACTAGACTTGGTGTCAGAATAATATCCTGCTACTTCCACCTTGCAGGATCTCGAAGGAATAGAGTCCACAAAGGCCTGTGGACTCCTGATAAATAACTAAGAATGGTACTGATGTCTCATGTACTGGATTTCATTAGTGAATCTACACACAGTTGTTATAGCATAGACTAAGCCCTGGCTAATCTGTACTGTGTAACCTTGTAGGTACTTCTGATCTCTTGTTACTATGTGTCTCCTTAGTCTCATGATCTCCTGATACCCTCTAAGCAATGAAGCAATGCATACTTGCTTCATACTTCCCAGGAACTAACAAACATTTGGAGACATCCAATAGACCTCTGATTCCAAGTCATAATGATAGTTCTAGCACAGGCTTGGAAGGAGAAAAATTTGAGCTGAATAAGACATCTACTATAGCATCTTGCTGCATGTCTACATATTCCCAGGTTGGGGGAGAAGGGAGGAGAAAGAAACACACAAAGGAACAAATCTACTGATGCCAGTAGGGCAGTGTCTCTGAGGGGAGTTCAGAAACCAGCATTATTGTCCCTGTATGTCTGTTCCTGTAGCTGGAGCCCATGTGGTCATCACCAACTGCCCCATTGTATGAATTTCCTACTACTGTTACCTCCCACAATGAAAGCAACACAGATTAGCCCTCTTATGATTTGGGGTGTCAGAAATCAAATGGTTGGATGGGGCTGCCTTCTATTATAGGGAAGAATCTGTTTCCTGCCCTCTTCTTGTTTCTGTAGACCTAATCTCATGCCTGTTTCTTCCATGTCCAGGAGCATCTTCTTCTCTTGCCTCTCTCTCATAGGGACCTTTTTTTTATTAGAGCTATCCAGGTCTTGAGGGGAGTCACTTAACCTCAAGAACCAGGGGAATATGCAAACTTTATCTTTGGAGGCACTGGGGATTATGATACAGATTTCTGTTTATTGGAAACGTGCTATAGAAAAATCATTTTTGTTCATCTCCAATAGAACAAACTTCTTGGAAGGCAGGTCCAAATAGTATTATTTTGCATCTAGTACAACCTTGAATATGATATTTTGTGCCAAAATGTAATGGTATTACTTATTTGTTTCATTCTTAATTTTTATTTCTGTTGTGGACCCTTTTATACACTTTCCTAGATATGTCAGAGGAGCCTTTCAATATCTGGGGAACTTGGCATTCAACATTAAAAAGTGGATCCAAAGACCCAGGCATGACAGGTAAAGTGCCATTTTTAAACTTCCTTGCATTTGCTTTAAAAATGGATTTTTCCTGAACTCTTACTTGCTATTCTCTTGGTAACTGCTTGCTAACCATTATTCAGAAAATACTGAAAAGAGAGGGAAAGAAGGAACAAAAATTATCTCTCCTTGGACTTTCCACCCCAATTGCTAAGCTTGGATGGTAATTCATTGCTCTTCTTTTCCTGGAGACTAAGTTGTCAACAAGGCAGGTAGTGAGAGTCTAGGAATATGTCTGGAGTGGCCACAAAAATGGTGCCACTATCAAAAAGAACCTGTCATAGGTCTTGCTAGGGAGATTTTCTTTTCAGGTAGCAATAGCTGGGAGTACGCTATTCTTTTTTGGCAGTAGAGACAGCAGTAAAAAAGAAAAGAGCAAGCCACTAATCCTCAAGGCAGTTGTCCAAACTAACCTCAGTTTTTGCATTTCTGGTTCCAGGTTCCTATGGCGACATTTTTGAAAGCAGCTCCCTGCGACCGAGGCCCTGTTCCCTTTCTCAAGGGAACCTATCACTGAATTGGCCTCAGCGTCAAGGGAGTCCCACGGGGCAGGACAGTGGCACTCAGGTCATTCGGAGGACTCAGACGGCGAACACTGTGGCACAGTGTAGTGTCCACCTTCCAGTGTCGCGTGTCTGCAGCACTCCCCACATCCAGGGCGGCGGCAGGGGGTCCAGGAGGCCTATAGCCAGGTCTGAGCCATTCTTGTCCCTAAACAGCACAGAAGACGTGGCCGAGAGCGAGGTGGGAGTGGCCTGTCTGCAAAGCCGGGCCCAGTCTGTGTACCAGAGACCTCAAGGGAGTGGCAGAGATGACAGGCGCCCCCCTCCCCCTGCCCCGGGGTCAGGGAAGCCTGCCATGGCCTCAGCCCAGCAGGCCCCAGAGCCTCCCCTGTGGAGGATCCAGAGGCATGAAGAAGATTCAGGAACAACTGCAGAAGAAGGTCAGCAGGCCTCAGGAGAGCATCCGGCCAGGCCAACAAAACTGAGCAGCGCCTACTCCCTCTCAGCCAGTGAGCAGGACAGGCAGAACTCGGGGGAGGCCAGATGGCTCGACTGGCAGCGAGAGCGGTGGCAGATCTGGGAGCTCCTGTCAACTGACAACCCCGACGCCCTCCCGGAAACCCTGGTATGAGGAAAATTGGCCGATGGACAATTGGACAATTACTCATTTTTCTTTTTTCTTTTTGTTTTTTCACACTTTGAAAAATCAACACAAGAGAAAGTCAGTCCACTTACAGAGAAGCACTCCTACCCTTGCCATTTATGATAAGATTTATTGCGTAGCCAGCCTTAGGGGAAAAAAAAAAAACCAAACATGACAATACCCAATCTCAAAACTACCCACATTGGCTATATATAAGATCAAACTCTTGCTTTGGTATTGCTTAATTGTATTTATGTGTCTTCAATTTTGACTATTGTATATCCTGTAACAGATTATGTATGATAATCAATATGACATATTCACAGAGACGACAAAACAATTAAAATCACTGCACTTATATTACACCATGAGATATATAGTAAGCAAAAAAAAATCTATAGAATGTTCTAGAATATGCACAAGCGGGTTTCTGTGCTTTTTTGCCATCACTTTTTCATGGGGACAGCCCTCCCTTCAATACCTAAGGAAAATCCTAACCAAACGAAACAGAATAAGAGAATCCATATTTTTATACAGTATTGAGAAATGAAAGTTATAGTCACTGAATGATTTTTCATAGTGAACAAGTTTTAAGTAAATATTGAATTTGATATGTTGTGAAATATTTTTTAGGAACTGTTTAGAAAGAACTCAGCAAATCAAATGAGAGAACATATCTGTCCCGTTCTAGGTGAAATTCAGTTTTATATAGGCCAATTATAATATATACTTATAATATGTAACCTTTATTAATTTTTCAAAACTACAAACTGGAATCCAACTATAAAAATTTTAAATTCAAATACACATTCAAATTATACAGCATCATTTCTCCCTCTGCCCTGTTATCAATATTAGCCCAATTATAAGAAATTCCTTGTAAAATAAATCCTATCTGGGGGGCAAAAAACAGCTACATCTTTGCGCTTACATTGTGCCAAAGGCTGAGGAAACATCTTCAGTAATTTTATGTGTATTGTAATGTATGTGTACCTTACTTCAGCAATTTGAAGTGTTACAACTGCAAAACCACCTTTGACCAGCAGGTGGCAGTTTGCTTCAGTATTTTCTGATTTTTTTTCACATCAGAAGGGACAGTGTATTATATACAAAGATATATATATATATATATATATATATATATATATATATATATAGTGTTTCTTAAAGTTCTATCTTGTGCCATGATGAATAAAAAGTTAAGCAAAGATTTGGTACCAGCTTTTTTAAATCTAATGAAGGAACTCACACTCCATTCCAGATAGATAACTTCACTATTCACAAGTTCAAGTATATTTCATGTTGGCAATTCCATAAGACACACATACAATTAGAGAGGTGTTTTTAAAATAACAAGTAGTTTGGAGACATCACGTCTATAATAATCTGTTGCAATTAAAGCCTGGTTTTCTGGTCACTGATAAAAGTGATTTCATACCTGACTAAAACCTCATGCCTCTTTGGCAGGTGTTGAAAGTTGTGTCTGCTCCATAGGTCTCAGATGCCCGATTGGTTCTAGATACGGGGTGTAGTGGTTTGTCCTTGGGAGCAAGTTGAATAATCTTTGGGCTCAGTCACTCTGATATTGGCTCAGAACACACAAGTTTTGTCAGTTATTCCTTACAGACCCCACTCAAACCAAAGCTACATGTAAGACTCACAGCAAAGGCTATTTGATTGGAGTACTCAAGTGGCTTTTCTGTGCCATTCACCTTTAGCCCAATCCCTTGAATTTACCAGGGCCTGACAAACTTTCTCCTCTCATGAACTTCCTGATACCTTGGACCTCCGTCTCACCATGTTTATTCTGTCAAAATTGTGTTACTTAAACTTTTTAAATCAAATGAGCTCTCTCTCTCTCTCTCTCTCTCTCTCTCTCTCTCTCTCTGTGTGTGTGTGTGTGTGTGTGTGTGTGTGTGTGTGTGTGTGTGTGTGTGTGTGTGATAGCCATCAGTTACTAAATCTGAATTTGACAGTGTAGAAAACAGCTTGGCCGGGCATTGGAGGCGCATGCCTTTAATCCCAGAACTCGGGAGGCAGAGGCAGTTGGATCTCTGTGAGTTCGAGGCCAGCCTGGTCTCCAGAGCAAGTACCAGGATAGACTCCAAAGCTACACAGAGAAACTCTGTCTCAAAAAACCAAAAAAGAAAGGAAAAGGAAAGGAAAGAAAACAGCTTGATATTCATGTTCCCTGTTTCTTTCCCCATTTATGCTCTGTGCACACATCTTTCACTTCTTTGGCGAGAGTTTGTTTCTTTGATAACTTTATCTCAGTACAAATATGCCACTTTTAAAACACACATGAAACCCCTGAATATGGCTCAGTGGACAAAGTTCCAGAGCCCACACAAAAGCTGGACACAGTAGCACAGATGTCTATAACCTAGTGTTCCTGCAGGAGATGAGTGGTACAAACAGGAGAATCCCTGAAAGAACATGGGCCAGTTAATCTGTCCTATACAGGAGTGAATGACAGGAGAGACCCTATCTCCGACAAGGTGGATGGCAAGGACTGACACCCAAGGTGGTCGGTCCTCTGACCTTGTTATATACACCGTGAACTGCACAACTCCCCAACACACACACCACATACACCATACACACAAATCTTTTAAAACACATGAGACCCCAAAACCTGTGTAGAAATTGAGGTCATTTTTAACACTGTATAACATTAGATACGATGCCTGACCAAAAAAATGTTAAATTGGACAAAAACACTTTGATTAGGATGTTGAAGTCACTCTTTTCTCATGAGGAAAGTGATCCTAGGGGCAAGAAGAAAGCTGCCATGCACCACAGATGCCTCCATGTCTATGAATACTCAATCACTTTGTTTTTGTGTCTCTGGCAAAGGGGCCAGAATGGTGATGATAGAAATAGTCAAATACACATTGGTCTTGATCCCACTAAGTAGCTATTAACATATGTTTGTTGTGAGTTTTGATGGCAAAAAACCATCTGATGCCAACGGGGGGGGGGTGCAAATCGAGGAAATTTATAAATAAATCCAGCTTGCTTCTTTTCTTATGCACATTTTAATACACATCTGTTTGGCAGAAAAACAGTACTGGGATTGAATATAAAGAGATACTAGAACAAAGTGGAGGCCTGTGCTGTCTGCTGGTCTGATAAGCAAATGGCAGGAGGTAGATTTTACTGAACTAAGAAGAACGGATTTGTCTGCAGAAGAGTCACACAGAGATGAAAACAGGATGTCTTGACTGGACAGAATTGTAAAACAGTAGTAAGTGTTCTTCAGGACAAAAAGCCAACTACCTACACACCAAAGGAAAGTTCTTATCAAGGATGGCAGCCTAGAGATTCTGAACTGGCATTCAGGATCCCTACCTAACACAACCCTCAGTCCGCCAAGGGACAGAAGGGTCATTCAACCAATATTCAGTTAGCTCAATCCAGCTAACATTCCTTTAGTCTACAGAGACTAACCCATCCTAGTTTGCTGCAGCTGTGTTATGCTAGCAATAGAAGGTCCCAAACACAAGCACAAGCCCTTGCTCTTTCCTATCTGGATGGAGCCAGAGGATATAGGACACTTGATCCTGGTACTTCTCAAGTACAAATACCAAATAAGATACAGTGTCTACTCAATTTGAAGACTTAACAACATATCACATGTTAGTCTCAGTATGTCCCACATAAAATCTGAGGTCTGCTTGTTCTCAAGTAATGGTTCATCCCCTGAAGATTTTATGGGATATATTTACATTGAAAAGAAAGTCCATGTGTTTCTGACATAAATTTGCTAAATCTGGCAACCCTAATCTCTAGCCTTAATATCACACCTAGCTCCCAAAGCCCTGCTTGAAAGTTTCAATGAATGTCCCACAGTGCCTCAACAGTTCTGAATGGCCAGCTCTGTGTCTCTACTGCTACCCTGAACTCCAATTTCACTTTTTTTTTTTTTTTGTTTTTTGAGACAGGGTTTCTCTGTAGCTTTGGAGCCTATCCTGGCACTCGCTCTGGAGACCAGGCTGGCTGGCCTCGAACTCACAGAGATGCGCCTTCCTCTGCCTCCTGAGGGCTGGGATTAAAGGCGTTCGCCACCAACGCCCGGCTGGACCAATTTCACTTTGTATCACCCCACATATTTGGCTAGGGAGCTTCTTCCCTCTGTGTACCCGAAGCCTCATCTAGTATATTTGCCATGTTTCTCATCAATGTGGCAAAATCCTCGACAGACACAATGTAAGGAAGAAAAGACTTATTTGAGTTTATGATTTCAGTGGACACACTCCATGGTGATGGGAAGGCAAGGTGGACAGAGCAATCTGAAGAATATGTGACAGAATGCCTCACACCTTGGCATCAGTGTTGGAAACGCTGGCACCCTACTAGCTTCCCCCCTTTATTCTGTCCAGGTCTCTAGGTTCCTGACCTGGTGGCACTCACATTCAGGGTAGGTCTTTCCTGTGCGTTCAATCAATTCTCGTGCCGCCAGAGACATACCCAGAAGTGTGCCTAACCATCTTTTAGAGCAGTGGCTCTCCACCTTCCTAATGTTGTGACCCTTTAATACAGTTCCTCATGTGATGGTAACCCCCAAACACAAAATTATTTTTGTTGCGACTTCATAACTATCATTTTACCTAGTTATGAATTGTAAATATCTGACACGCAGGATATCTGATATGTGAACCCCGTGAAAGGGTCATTCACCCTCCCCAAAAGGGTCTCACCCCATAGGTTGAGAGCCGCTGTCCTTGGTTACTCTAAATCCAGTTAAACACTCCTGTTTCCCTTGGTATTGATTATATCTTTCAACTAGTCAAGTTGATAGTGAAAGTACCCCAATCTTATTTTCCTTCTGGTGGATATGCATCCTGTAGATTTATCCTTATTGTCATATTCTGATTCTTTTTTGTTTGTTTTTCAAGAAGGTTTCTCTGTGAAACAGCCCTGGTTGTCCTGGAACTTGCTCTGTAGACCAGTAAATCAGGCTAGCCTCAAACTCATAGAGATCTGCC